TTTTCTAATAAAGAAAATTTAAATACAAATCGAATTAATTTATTAGGTAATGAAATAATTGCATTCCTTAATAAAATCTACTTCAATTTTCAAAAAATTCTTATATCAAGTATATAACAGATTTTTGTTTTTGTTAAATAAGTTAAACTAAAATTATTACATATATAAATTTATTTCTATTTACCAGGTATTTATTCAACATCCATTTATTTTCAATTCTCCAGAATCACTTGAATTTCTTTGTAATCTATTAAAACAACATGTACTTGAATTAGGTATATATATATATACATCGATCACTTTCAATAAAGTTTTATTTCCTTTTTTTTCTTTTGTTGCCTATTATCAGCTCCTATACTTTTACGTACAATTGAAGCATGTGGACCATTAATTATTGTATCAAATCAGAGTAACATGCTAACGTATGTATAAATTAAATATTTCTTTGTTCGTGTCAACTTAATTTTTTTTTTACATTTATAGTCTTCTTGATTCTGAACTTTCAACTTATTTAACTCTTCATCCACCAATTGCAAAACGTGCACTCTATTGTATATGTGCATTACATCCAAATGAAAAAGATGATATACTTAAAAAAATGATTGATGTATTATCAAAAATAAATAAATATTTTTTGTTTTTGATTAGTTTATTTTAATTTTGTGAATTTCTTTTAGGATACACAATATGATCAATTTGATAGTGATCAATTTATAACTCGACTTGTTTTACTTGGTCATATGTTAAAAATATCTCCAATAGCACTTGGTGATATTGGTAAACGTATACTTAATAATATATCAAAATATATTATTGATAAACGACAAATAAATGATAATGATGATGAAAATATGACAAGTTCATTTTTACATGGACATTTTACTTTATTAGCTGATGAACCTCATTCAGATCCAGAAATTGGTGCTGATACTCGTGTTAAAGTAAATTTATACAATTGAAATAATTATATTGAAATTTACTTTTTTTTGTTTTTAATAATAGCGTGAATTAGTTAAAGCATTGACACGTGCAGTATTAGGTTTACGTGAAAATTCAGCTGGATTATTTATTGTTACATATAAATTAATACGAAAATCTATTGAAAAAGATCAAGATTTCACAGATGAAATGAGGTAATTGAAGAATCTATTAACGAAATCGATTACTTTCCGATGAATGTCAAATACTGTTGGAAGATGTTTCTTATATATCATATAAAGAATACACAATTCATTGTAAAGAAATCACATATCGAATGATCTGAGATTCTTCCAACAGAGACAGATCTATTTGTCAGTAGAATGTCCTGAAGATTTTCATCTCAAAAGAATGTTTCCTTCCCGAGATATTAAAGTTGCAAAAAACAGAAGGATGCTAGAATTCTTCTGACATTAATATCCCGGAAAGAAAACATTTTTCTTTTGAGCTGAAATTGTCAGGACATTCTACTGACAATATATTTCAAATGATGAATTTGATCTCTCAGATAATATCATTCATCGGATTTCTGCACTCAATAAAACATGATTCGTATTTCTAATAGAAAAAAAAAAATTTCATACATATATATTAATGTTAATTTATTTTGATTTTCTTAGTGAAAGTGAAATAATTTATATTCGTCTTTGTGGTTTATCATGTTTATTAAAATTAATTTGTCATCCATATTTTTATACACGTATAAAACCTGATGATTTTCTTATGATAATGACATTACTTCGTGTAAGTATTGAACATTTGTTTTTTTGAAATTTATTTAATTCCTTTTTGTTTTTGTATATATATATATATATTAGGATCCATCATCAACTATACGTCAACGAACATATCGTAAATTAGCTGAACAATTACGTGATCCTGTATGTCCTATTGAATTACTTGCTTTATTAGCATTTGCTGCTAAAGAACCTGAACGTGAACATCGTGAACAAATTCGTCGTTTAATGTTACAAATAATTGATACACGTCGTGAACATATTAAACTTCAATTATCATATAAAACAACTTCAAAAACAAATGGTCATCAACAAACAAATGGTTTTGATGATGATGATGATGATGATGATGATAATAATTGTTCATCAACAAATGATGATAAACCAATTGATTATACATTATATCCTGAATATTCATTAACATATTTTCTTTATTTTCTATCAAAATCACCAGCATTTATATTATATGATGATATTGAAATGTTACATACAATGACAGATTATATATTATTTTTATTAGATGCTTTATTATTACGTTGTGATACAACAGTTGGTTTATTTTATAAAGGTTTATTACGTTCAATAAAATCATCTGAAGATGCAACAATATCATCAGATAAAGAAGAAAAAGCTGAAAGAAAAGATGCATTAAAAAAATTACATGTACTTGTTGATTTAGCTTATGTTATATTATCACAACGTGCATCATCATTAATGATATGTCGTGCTAGTTCAAATGTTCCATTATCAGATATATATTTTAAAAAAACACGTTATAATCATTTATCATATTTACCAAAAGATTTTAAAATCAAACTTAAACCAATAACAATAACAACAGTTAGTGATACAATAACACCAATTAATAAACGTACAAATATAAGAAATTCTAATGATATAAATACATCATCAAGTATAACAATTATAACAACACCAACAAAATCTATAAAACAAAAACGAATAAGTGGAGATAATGAAGAAGATAATTCAATGAAAAAAAAACGAACTTTACCAAGTATAAAAAAACGTAAACGTCAAACGAGTAATGATGTTAATGAAGATCAAGTAACTAATTCAAGTAGGCAAAAAAAAAATTTTTTTTCATTAATATATTGAAATTACTTTTTTTTACCTCATATTTACACATTTCTTCCAAATTGTAGTTTGCTTCTCTTTCATTTGAATTTTAAATTATAAACCAAATTTATTAAAATTAATTTCATAGAATTCTTATTTTACATAAAATCAAATCTTTCAAAAGACTATGTATCTTAATTATAGTTATAAAAAATGTAACATTACAATTTGTAACGATAAAGCAAAAAGATCACTATATATAAAAAAAAAACATAAGGTAAAGTGTTTTATAAGCTCTAGACCTCGATAAAAAATGATTTTTAACTACTCAAATTTATATATGAACTTCAACTAGATCAATGTCATATTGAAATATCACATTGATAAGAAGTATAATTATATAGGTTTTTTCTTTTTTTTTTGTATATTGATATAATCATGTCATTATTCATATTATGAATTAAATAAACATTTTATCAACTAAACAAAAAATGGAATTATTTTTCGATTACATAAGTTTTACTGTTATAATAAAGAGAACAAAAAAAAAAACCGAATATATGGAATTCTTAATTATCCAATATGATACCATTCATTTTTAAACAAGGACAAAATTTGCAACTTAGAAAAAAAGAAACGAGAAAGATATATTTAAATAAACATACACATAATTATTAATATTTGGATTTATTTTAATCCTTATTTTAGACTATAATCTTTCGTGATACATTAGTTGTTAATCAGTATTAATTGATAACTAAATGGAGATTTATTACTAGGCAAAAAAAAGAAACAATTAGTTAAAAGAATTTTTAATTAAGGGAATTATAAATATATTGTGTTTAATTTAGATTCATCACCAGTTAATGGTACTAACATTCGAAAAACTTCATTAAATAGTTCAAATCGATCTCGTATTAATTTTCCATATGAAAAACCTCAATTACGTTCAGCATCATCATCATCTTCATCACCATCACCATCACCTAAAACAAATCGTCGTACAACAACAAAAGATAAAATTTCATCATGATTATTATTAAATAAACAAATAGAATAGATAAATATTTTCTTTTTTTTGTTTTTTGTTTCGGCTATGTGTGCTTGTTTGTTTGCAACAATACAATGTGTATATATACATTATATACATATATCTTATAGATAGCGAAAGATTAACAATGAAAAAAAAAAAAATAAGAAATTAAATAAAATTGTTTGTTTTGCTGTATGTTATGAAATACAAGCAAAGAAAAATATAGTGTATAGAATTATATATATATATACATACTATATATGTATGTGTATTTTTTTTTCTTGGTTGTGTGAAATGTATTTTTTTTTTCTCTCTTTGGTCTTGTATAACACATTATTGATGTTACAAACATAAACTATATCTATATATCCTCACTTCACTTATAAGTAAATTTATCTTAAAAGATGATTTCGAAAAAGAAGCAAAAAGTGCATCTCATAAACTGGCAAGTATATGTGATTCAATTGGTTTATGAGCACGTGTGCCTGGGGCTTTATGACAAGTACTATATACGTTGCTTGTTTGCTTATGCAAGTAAGGTGTGATCTGATTCATTTTTTCCGGCATAACTGGCTGGTGCATTCTGTTCTTTCACGTACATATAATCGTGATTCAAAATCAAGAGGAAAAAAAAAGAATTTCTCTTTTTTTTTCCTCGTTCTTTACAAAAAAAGTGTTGATGGCTACGAAGAGAAAACGACAGTAGGTAATAATGATTTTTCTCAATCTGATATTCTATTTATATGTACTGCATATAAAGACAAGGGCAGCTGTCAATAATATTTAAATAGATTTGCAACATCGATAATGACCAGTAACAGGTAGTGTATATTAAATACTTGTTTGCCTGTCCGACAAGTGAACTACGTAGATAGACAAACACGTGTATGCATATGTTCTTATCTTTAGTTGATGATGATCGGGCAGTGTATAGTCTATGTTTATTTGTAAAATGTCTTTTCCATACGCCCTTTCTTTTTTTTTTTATTCTTTTTTTTTAATCTATACATGTATGTACAAGGTCGATTGATAGAGATAGAGAAAAGTCGAATCAAATTGTTGTTCTTCTTCGTCGGCATTTTCTTACTTTATGACTTTTTCAATGATTTCAATAAGATGAAGATTATGAATGATTGAAGGAGGAGAATATTTAAATATTGATCAATATCAATAAGATGTATCATTGGCAATTAAACGAGTGAGATAGAAAAAGAATTTTTGAAATATTTGTTTGTTTTAATTCATAATTTAAACAGTAAACACTTTCTTGTTTTTCAAAAAAAATCTTTTCAAGGATCAATCTTGTGGAGCGATCGGGTAGTTTACATATTTATTATGCCAATAAAACCTTCAAACATTGGAAAAAACGATGGCTTCATTTACAAGATCAACAGTTGACTATATATCAAGGTAAAGAAATTGCTTTTTTTTTTCTTGTTTATATATTTATTGGATATATTATTACTCAAACAACAAAAATGTAAACGATTTGCTTTTCTTTTTTTATCTCTTATTCTTCTAAAGATTCACATTATAAACGTCTTGAAAATATAATTAATATTAAAAATTATCGTGTATCAATTACAACTCCAATTGATTCAATATCACATAAACGATATACTTTTAAAGTAATCAAAGAAAAACATTATTTTCTATAAAAAAAAACAACAAAAAGCGTTTTATTTATTTAGATCTATGATCCAAATTCAATAAATGAAAAACCAATTTTCTTTTCAGCTGATAATAAACAATTAATGACACAATGGATTAATGCTTTGCGTCTTTCAGCTTCAATTGCTAACGATCTTCTTGTCGAGTAAATATAATCTTTTATATTTATATATACCCTTTCAATATTCATCAATTATTAGACCTAATTTTGCTACTGATTTGCATCCAATTGATACAGACAATGAATCAAATTATAATGGTTCGATTAATATTAATAATTCAAGATCACTATATAAGTAAGGGAAATTTTATTCAAAAAAAAACAAACGTGATTTTAAAAGAGAAAAGCTCTCTCCTTCTCCCTCTCTTTCTCTGTTTTTATCCATTTACATCTAGTAAACGAAGCTGATTAACAACGATCAAGAAAAAAACTAACCACAAAAAAAAGGCAATTTGCATCTCAATTGCGACGCGAAGCACTGTTGATGCTGTTCCATGAATAATTGTAGTCGCATGCATATATATATTCACATACAGTTACTCTTCACATAACGTCTACCCGGTATTCTTTAGTGCAGCCATCTAATATTATCAATTTTCAATTGTGTACCGGCGGTGACGACGGGCGCGTGCACACGAGTCTCTACATTGAAAAGCATTCAACAGTGTTTTTGTAATTTTTTCTCATATAGATGGATGGATGGATGGATGAACGTACTGTCTCATGTTCATGTTATGTTGTATGCTTTGATATATATAATGTGTAGTGAGGAGTTTACTTTAAAATAATAGTAACGCTAGTCAAAGTAATATAACGAAGAAGAGAAGAAAAAAAATTGTTCTTCTTTTTTTTCACATACATACCTTTTAATATCGATAAGACAGTTGGAGAAATATGAGCTTCTATAAGGGAGCTACCACAGATTCGATTGAGCGCAAAAGAGGATTTGTTTCTTTTTTTTTTATTTTGAGATACAATAAGAGTGCATAGGTCAAGACAAAAAGAACATTGAATGCCATCCATCTACAGTGACTGGTGAGTAATAGCAAGATAGTAGTAATGTTAAGAGTCATTATAACGGCAAGTATAAAAGAAAAAGGAGAAGTAGATAACAGAATAGGAGTTTATATGTTAGGTAAAAGCTACAAGTGCTCTCATCATTATGAAAAAAATGAAAAATTTAAAACAAGCTTTATGTGTCAAGTAAGTTTTATTGATTGAGGACATTGGCATTTATTTTTCTAATACATATCCATATGCCCTTGTTATTTCATACATGTTGTTACATCGACCTTGTTTGAGATTAATGTCTATAGTTTAACTATCACAGCAGCGACTGAACATATATGCACACACACACACACACACACGTTTAGATGACCTATATGATCATGGGAAGTGTCTGTGGTCCGATTAAGATTTAAGTCAACATTGCCATTACTATCATGCATGCTGTGTATTAGATGATCTTTTTTATTTTATGCAATAGATCATCATCATCATCATCACTCCCATGTGAAACTTTATTTCTATCACATTTGCGCATATTGCTCTTCCTATTTTTTTTTGTCTTGTGTCTCTGATATTTTTTTTTCGTCGTCAGTTTACAATACTTCTAATTAGACGACAAGTAAGCGTTATATTTGAGAGAAAAAAAAAAGAAAAAAAAAAGACGAACGCTTATTACATACTATTGCTCTTGTCGCCGACACCTCCCTACACCTTCGTATTCTCTACACTTTTTTTTGACAGCTTTTAAAGTATCGTATATGAAAATAAGTGAACGAGCTCGTCAATCATCAATTATCGATTTGTATATATATATATACACATATATGTATATATGTATGTCTATGAGCGAGAATGACCTGCGTACTGAATGAGATAGCCTTGTCAAGTTTGTAAACAAGTCGAAGAACGATGATGATAGTAATGACAAATTTTGAACATCTCCTTCCTGCCTTCAGTCATTCAATCATTTATTCTATAATAGACTCCTGTGATGCAATATTGAGACGATAGTCAGTCAGTACATACATAGTTCTATTTATGTACATTTGCGTTCGGTCTCTTTTTTCATTCAAATTCAGTTTCATTCAGTACGTGAGGGTACGAGAAATAAAGGAACAGAGAGAGAGAGAGAGAGAGAAAGACAGAGCGGCCTATATACTACTGCTTTGTCTATGTGTCAATTTGTGTAATCGAATATAGAACTGAAGTTCTCTTTTCTCTTTTTTTTTCGCAATTTTTTTTCTGACTATACCGTCCTATTGCTCTGTTCTTCCGTTCGGTACAAACGGTAGCTGCACCACAGTCATCGTCATCTCACCCTTCTCTGTAGTCAATCTGTTTTATTCATTCATTCATTCGAATATGAAAATTTACTCTTCAATATTTAATGTCGATGACGAGGCAACATCAAGACAAAAACGAAAAGAATTTTTTATTTCTTTTTAATCGTAAAATAAGACAAAAACAAGGTATACTTAAATAATATTGAAAAAGAATAAATCAATTTTTTGTTTTTGTTTTTTCAACATAATATTAAACGATTATTGTTTTTTTTTTCTTTTTCTTTCTCTTTCATTTTTTGATTTTTGTATAGATCATACAAACCATTAATGCCTATTGCAACAACAACAACTTTAAATGATCAAAATCGATTTCTAAATTCACATGAAGAGGAGGAGGATATTGAAGATACTCGTTGGTATCGTCCACACTCATCATCACCATCTTATCCATTGAATGTTAGTAATGGTGTTATTCATCAACCATCGTCAACAACAATGGGTTCATGGGGCTTTGACGTTAATCGTTCAACAAACGGACAGATATCGTCATCATTTACATCAAACAATAATGATCATCGTACAATTACGAGGACGCCAAGACGATTAGATGAACCGATAGAAGATTTTAACGAACATCTTGTAAATAAATCATCTCCTCCTCTTCAACGTTTTAAATTACGTACACCTACATTGACTAGACATCGTAACGGAAACGAATTTACTGTTGTTGATCGTCTCGTTCTTGGACCAAGTCGTATTGTACAATCTGATTATTATCCATCTGATGAATCACCTGGTCAACAATATATGCCACCAACAACTCGATCTCGACAATCATCAACACGATCAATATTACGTCGACGATCAAAATCTATTGGTGATTTTACAGCACCAACAATTAATACATCGTCTTCTCCTTCTCTTCCTCCTCATCATCTTACACCATCTTATCATCAATATCAATACCATGAACGACCTCGAACAAGTCCAAATAATCATCATCGAGTATATACAGAACATGAATTGATGGCTTGGCAAAATCGTATGTTAGAAAGGTTTGTCTCAAATAACATTTAATTTGATTTATTATATATTTAAAATACAAAAACAGAAAAGAGTCTCAAGATAACATAATGATTTAAGACTGAACATATGCATTGTTAACAATGTGAACAATATTTCAATCTTTTTTTTTTTTCTTATAGAGATCATCGTATTGGAAATAGTCTGATAACTCGTCCACCTTCATCGAATACTGGATGGGTTCAATCACCGCGAATGAATAGTAAACGAGGCGGAGTAAGTTTTTCTTTTTCTCTCTCTCTCTCTCTCTCTCTCTTGATGATTAACGTTTATATATATGTATATGTTCTTATTCATTTCTTTTCTTTATACTTTTCTGGGTCACAAGAAAAATGAGATCATGTTCTTTGTATGTTTAATCAGATCGGGACATCGTTCTAAACATTTGTATGTGTAATGAGAAGAAAACTGAGTATCATTTCTCTTCATCTTTTCTTTTTTTCAAATAAATATGTATACTAATTTGTATTGAAGTTGATGATCAGTATTAATACATATGGGGGTCATCTGGTCAATATTGATCTCTGTATTAATTGTTTTTTTTTTTTTTCTACGATATATACATTTCATTCTCCTTTTAGTTCAATACTTCTCAATCACCAAATCGTCAAATGCGTAAGGATTGAAACAAAAAAAAAAAAATTTTGATTAAAATAATTAAACAAAAAGCAAAATAATTTATCTTTTAGCTGTATCAATTCGACCAATATCTGCTATGTCAAATATGAGTGGTAGTCAACGTTTTGAACATGATCATGTAAAGAAGAAAATTTTTAATTTAAATTAAAATAAATAAAGTTTTTCTTTTTTTTCTTTGTTTGATGAATTAGTATGAACCAATAATGAAATTATCAAAAGTTATTAAAAGATATATTGAATTACTTTATCATTTACAAACATTTTATGAAAGAATTACAGATCAATTATATGGTGGAAATATATTATTAAGAAACAAGTATTGAATTCTTTTTATAGAATATTTTTATTGTTTTTGTTTTTTTTTATTACATTTAGTTCATCATCACAACAATCGGTATTTATTCATCATTGTCGAAAAATTGCTGAACAATTACAACGTTCAAAACCAATATGGGATCGAAAAGTATTTCATTTTGTGTATTGTTTATATAAGAAAAGAAGAAATTTTTATTATGTTTTATAGATTGTTAATCTTCAACATTTACTTAAAGATATTTCTTCTTATGAACGGTCAATAGTAAAAAGTGAGGTTTGTAAAAAACAAATAAAAAACCTTCAAAATAAACTTATTAATCAATCTTATGTATATCTATATATGTATATATCTATATGATTAGACGACATTTTTACAACGTCGTCCAACTTTAATTAATTTAATTCAAACATTAAATTCACGTAAAGATCTTAGTGATACTCAATTATCTATTCTTGTAAATAAACTTTTCGATCTTTTGTAATTATTTGACATTGTTTTTTTCCTTTCTATAGAATGATATTGATCGTATATTACATGAAGATAAATTAGGTAAATTCAAAATTTTATTTCAAATAATTAATTAAACTTGTCATATTAGCTGTTCAACTTCAAGATGAATTATCTACATTACTTCAACATCAGGTATGTTATTCAAAGAAATAGATTTTTTTTTATTCTTTTGTGAAACACGATCTAAAAGAAATGCTGAAATATAGAGGTAAAAATTTGAATCCTCACAGATCATTACAGATGCCTTACGATGGAAGTCCGCTAACTGATAAATCGTTATTGAGTCGAGACTATTTACATTATGAAGATACAAATGAATTATGAATATTTTGAAAAGAGTTCGTAGTTATTGCTGTGGAGATATTGCACTTCTACGATATTTTTTTAATGAATGTCGTGGTGACAGAAAAACTGATTTTTGAATTTCAACTTGAAACTTTGTACAGAGACAAATCGTTGATAAGAATAGATTTTTGTGAAAGTTTTAAATCTTTATATTGTTCCTATCTTAAGATACAGCTATGATAAAAGCATATCTTTTACATCAACAGACTCGATGTTCTTATTTCAGGATAAAAGCAAATCAAAAGATCTAAAACTAGTCTCGTTAAGGGAGTATCTCTGTACAAAGTTTCAAGTCGAAATTCGAAAATCAATTTTTCTGTTAGTACGACATTCATTTAAAAAATACTGTGAAAATATTGTATCTTCATAGCAATAAACTAAGGAACCGAACTCTTTTCAGAATACTCATAGGTCATTTGTATCTACATAATACACATAGTGTCGATTCAAAAATGATTTATCATCTGAGGGACTTTCCTTGTCAATGCCACTCTCGCGTCACATACCGTATATATCAAGAACATTCTCATAACTACTTTTTTATTGCATTTCTGGAAGATTAAATAAAAATATATCGAAGCAATATGTTCTAAAATAGATAGAGTAAAACACACTAACAGTTTGTTTTCTTTTTTGGTCTAATATTAGTCATTATTACATGATTTTACATCATTACTTCAATGGAATCGTCAAATATATTCTTCAAATGAACAGAATCGAGTAGAAAATGTTCTACCATTATTACGTGAACAAATAACTACAACTGATGGTTATGTATCACATGTTAGCCAAGTAAGACAAAGAAGAAAAAAAGAATTCTTTTTTTTTTTTTGTTTTTATGAAAATATTAAAATTTATATTTATTATTAAAAATAGCAATTAACAGAATTAGTAACAAATTTACGTTCATTAGAAAAATATATATTGTCTTATATGAATACAATTCCATTAGTTGATGATGGTAAAAAAAATAGAAAATTTTTATATCCGAGTTTTTTTTTTATTAAGAATAATTAATATAATTAGGAATAGTAATATCATCAAATCGTAATAATTGGCGTCCATATAATGAAACTGACATTGATACAATGAAAACAAGAAATCAATTTGAACGAACAAAAGTATTCAAAAATTTAAATTATTTCTAATTGATTTTTTTTTATAATATATATTTAGGATGAATATCAACGTTCATCACGTTATCAATCACGTCCATTAAGTATGCATACACCTACAAATCAACAGTATCATAGAAGTAAAAATTTCAAATTAATTCATTTTGTTTTATTATATTTAATATTTCATTTAGGTACTAGTCCGAATTATCGTAATCATAATTATGTAAATGAAAATCCTGAATGGCATCGTCGAAGTCCAAGTCCAATAAGTATATAAAAATATTCATTAAAAAAAATACACATATACGCATACAACATTTTTTTTTTAGAAACAAGATCTATATCAATGACTCGTTATACAGATTCATCAGAACCAGTTCGTGGTCCATCAACAGATAATTTTGTAGGTTATAATTTGTTTAAAACAAATGTTTTTGTTTTTATTATTTATTCAGGATCGTGATGAATTACGAACATCAACAAAGTGGTCATCAAATAGAAATCATAATCATTTAAATACAAATAATAGTAATAATAATACAACAACAACAACACGTATTGCAACAGTTAAATCTGTTAGACGTGAAAATGGAGTTATACCAAATGTAAATATCTTTATCAAGAAATCAACAAAGAAAGTTTTGTTTACTTTTTAAATTTAGAGTATCCTTAAACCATATCCACATACACGTACAACGATTGTAACAAAAAAAGATTTTGATATTGATACAATTGATAAAGAGGTATGAATAGAAATGATATATTGAATTATTAATGAATAGTGTTTTCTTTTTTTTTCTCTCAATAAGATATTTAAACCAGATAAAGTTGACATACCTGATCGATTAATTGATTTTGATAATGACGATCAAATGTTAACAGCAAATGAACGTTTAGCAAAAATGAAGAAAAAAGAAGAAGTACGAAAAATGCTTTCAAAACAAAGGTAAAAGGCAAAAACAAAAGAGAAAGATTTTAATTATTTATTTCGTTTTTTTTATTCTTATAGTATGCCAGATATTAATGAACATGATTTTAATGATGGGGATGTTCATTCATCTTATAATCAACGACGACTAGAAAAAGAACGTGAAAAAGTATGTTAGTAACAAAATATGTAGTTGCATTGATCTTGAAATTAGGATTTAATTAGATTTGAGAAATGAGATTAATTATCAATCTTCAAGACCGACAAGATTGAAGAGCGGGTCCGATGACTGACATATAACTTTCGTTCCAGGAAAACAGTTTTCTTTTGCTCAGAAGTAATTGCATATCACTTAGAAAATCACGTTTAATAAAATAAAGTATTTATCGACAAAAAACATCGGAGAAGAATTTTTGTCCATCCTTTTTCGAGAAAAGTTTTTGATTAGAAAGTACTTTGTGTCATACATCATCCGATATAGTTTCGCGCACTGATTCCAAATAGACTATCGTTGTACAATGAATACCATCTGGGACCAGAAAAAAAAATGGAAACTATCTGGAAAACTATGGTCTCTTGAAAAACTCATATTTAACGTGGATTTTACGCAGAAGCTTGGTTTTTTTAACGACAGGCATGTTTTCAAACTACATTTTGATTGACGGGCTGTCAACTCTACTCAACATTCGTAATAAAAACTTATGCCAATAGAAAGAGAGAGAACATATCTTGAAGTATATTTACTATAATTTGAGTTGATGAAAATTTTACTTTCTTTTTTTTTTTCATTTAATGCCCCGTCTGGATCCACACTGTGTCCTGGTCTATTCTACAGATTTGATTCGTGTTTAAATCATTCTAGATGTTGAATTGATTTTGACATGTTCGAATTCTTTGATTCCACATATTTTTATTATTGAACTATAATAATTAATTTATTATCTTTAGGCTCTTAATTTACAATCAGCACTTGCTGAAGAAGCAAAAGAAAAAAGTCGTCAAGTTGCAGGTTAGTTAATTTAACATTGATTTATTTGCTATGAACAGTCAATAATTGATTCACATGTGTGTATGTGTGTGTGCGTATCACAATGATTTCTTTTTTTTTTCAATTTAAAGATTTATAATTACCAATAAACGGGTGAGCTAATGGGAATATTTGCTCCGCTTCTGTTTTTTTTATGTTTCTTTTTTTTTTGCTTTGCTTTTTATATTGAATTTAAAAATTTATGGAGCTTATTTTGTTTCAGCAAAACATTATTTAAATAAATCATATCAACAACAAACATCTCGTCGAAATTCATAGATTTATGAAATTAAATTGGTTGATGTTAACAGTGGTAGTGATGGTGCTAGATTTTACTCACATCTTTTGTTTTCTTTTTCTTTTTTTGTATGTATAGAGTTTGATCTCTCTGTCTCGCTCTCTCTCTCTCTCTCTGTGTAATTTTTTAATTATACGCTTTGGTGTGTCTCACTATTTTTTTATACTGTGCATGTTTGTTCTCTTTTGTACTACATTAATTATAATATGTACTATGTAATCGAGATTTTTCGTTGTTTTTTTTTTATTCTTTGTTTAGAAGATCAAAGAAAGAAGTAATTCTCGATTTATTAATTAAAATTTGTATATTAAAAATGAGAGATAAATATAATATTATCAAAGGTTGAAGAAATATCTTTTCTTTGTTGGAATAGATTGTGGCCTTCTAGTAAAAGAACATTTCATTGTCACTAAAAGTTTAAAATAAGAGATTAGAAAAGGTCGAAAATGTCGAATATGTTTTTTTTTGTATGACTTTTTTTTTATCTTCATGAATGATTAATCACTAAATTATGAATGAATATTTCATTAAATATTAAGACAAGATTGAAACTATGTTTTGAACTTTTATATGATGTTTGTTTAATATAAATTATTTTATCACTTTATTAATTATTTATTTATAAACCTAAATATCATATAAATATGTTGATATGAATAGCATCAAAATCAATAAATATAAATGAAACTATAATTAGAATCTACTCAAACGATTAACAGATGTTGTCTGACAAAAGCAAGCAAAGAAATGAAAGTTGAGTAACTCTTCTAGTGCATGTATAGAGATATCCGGAATCAACTCTAGTTGCGGTCTGAATTTCAGTGATCGATACTAAAGATTATATGTGTAAATATTCTATGGTTTTAAGTACAATATCTCATAAATCATATCAATCAGAATATAATTCAAGAGAGATGACTCAAAAAGTGCTAGTCGTCGAAAAAAAACGAATATTGAAGAATTGTTTTAGATATGATACGAATAAATTGTGAAATAATTTTCTTTCAATCAAAATCGGAATCAGATTAGATTTACTGAGGTTAGGATCAGAACCAATAGCAAAAAAGTGATTGAGATCAAAACTAAGAAAAAACTTGACTCCACACATTTTTTGTTCACGTGATATTCTCATAGACAGTTAATAACAATTTTTATGTTTTGAAAGAATCTATTTTACCTATGAAATACAATGATATAATATGAATTAAATTTGCATTGCCGAGTATATGAAGTAGTTGTGTGTTGTATATTTATGTAAAGTTTTGTTTTTCGATGCAATGCAAAATATCTGAGAGTAAGTCGTTAAATATCTTTTTTTATCGACCTATTTCCTTTTTAACAATAAACATCAATATTGTTTTGGTCTTTTGTACATATACAATAACAACAAATATACTCTACCATTTTTGATCGCATCTATCAATCATTCGTTTTTGTTACTATTCAAAAGAAAAAAATAAACTTAATCAATGAAATGGTTGTTTTTTGTTCTTATATTTTCTACATAATGATGAAAGAATTTTGAATTTGTAGATATAAATAAAATGATGTTTTTTTTTTGTAAGATGTTATATAACAATGAATTCAAATGCATGAGACAGATTATGAAATTTATTTAATCTAATGTTATAAAAACATCATGAGCAATAAAAAAAAGAAGCTTGTTTTACAATTAAAAATTTACCAATGAACATCTCTGTAGCTCGATTTTTGACGTCTCAGAAAATGATTTAGTTTGTTTTTGCTACAGATAGTATAAAAATTTCTGGACTCAAATTCGATATTGTTTCCTCTACATGAATGAATTGCAAATCTTTAGTAACACTAGTACGAAAAAATGAAAGAAAGTCTACGAAATTTCTTAGTGTTGCATTTTATAAAATTCTATGTCTGTATTATACAACAAAAAGCTCCCAATATTTTATTACATATTAGCCGATATACGATTATTCTTTAGTATAAAATGCACTATAGAGAACGTTATTTAAATGAAAAAAATGTCCGTCTATATGTCATCATATTTTGTAAATTTTTCCATAATAGAAGGAGACAGAAGGCTGCATTTGAAATTGATTTCATCACTTCAAGAAATGTAATTACACTAAAAATTTAACGGAAAACAAACGAACTTTTACGAGACCATTTCCAAAATCTCTTTCTAAAATATGAATAAAGATTTTTAGAGCAAGATTGTCTTTATTTTTATAGAAGAAAACAGAATCATTTTTTCTCCGAAAGTACAGTAAAATATAATGTCCTTTCATATAAAAATGATGATGATGTATTGATTACAAAATATTGCGAACAAAAGATACTAGATAGGAAAGGATACAAGCAATAAAGAAATGTATTTCGATAGAACATTTTACACTGTTCAAAATGGACTTTCTGTTATTCTCTATAAAAATTAATTTTTTTTTCAGCACATCTCACTCAAAAGTACGATTCTTTTCACAATGTGAGCTTCATAATTCAGCGATGATACGAGTTAAAGTATTGGAATTTGGTATGACAAATGGGACGTTCAAACAAGAATAACATTTGAAAAAATCTGCTGGAATTCGTTAATTAGAACAAAAATTATACGAAAATACTTCTCTACGTATCAGTTTTTCAGCAAGAGAATATGATAGTCATGTCAAAGTATCTATGACCAGTTTCATTTTGTATTTCAGATTAATATAAATAAGGTTTAGAATAACAGAAAAATAAATTTAAATTATAATAGATAGTAGAGATATTTATATCGTACTTCGAGTAATCCAAAATTAGTAGCCGAGGTATTTTAATTCCTTATAAAAAAGTTAAAGAAACTTTCTCTCTATATAGTCTGATAGTAAAAACAATGCTTTATTTGTCTATGATATTCAATCATTCTTAAACTAATATCATGAAAATAAATTTTCAATAAGACCTGTTTGGCTATAATATGTGATGATTAAATTACTTCATATTATTTTCGATATGTATTCTTTTCCTGATTTTCTTTTTGTTCTTTACTTTCTTGTCTTTATTCTTTTTTCTTGTCTCTTTTAATGCCTAGCTGTCTTCGTATATATATGTCAGAGTTGACATTAAAATTCAGTTGCCTTTAAAAGGCAACTAGTTCAGTTGAAAATTTTATTGTCAATTAGGATGGAACTAGTTGACTTTAAAATGTAGATATTTAAAGTTGTATCATACGAAAAGTAGTAGCATCTTCGTGACATAGATGAGCTTAAGAAAAAAAGAAATATTGAATAAAGATAAAAAGTACACAACAAGAAAATCCAGCTATTGGTTTAAAAGTTTCAGATCTTGATCGTACAAATACTTCTTCCATAATTTTGCCATGTAAAATAGCTGATAAATATTCCAAAAATGCTGAATTCATGCACATAGATGCTATACAAAAAGGTCTTATAAAAGAACATTTTGGCTCAAAAACATGTTTAGATCTTACTAATATGAATTTCTCATCAGTACGTTCTACTAATACTGATGAATTGCCAACTATTACTTTTATTAAAGCAAGTCAAATTTACATCAATTTTAAATCAACAAAAACATGTACATGCTCTGGTGGTTGCAATATTAATCGATGTTGTTGCAAGAAAAATAATAGAAAATGCAGCATCAAATGCCACATTGATAGGAAATCGAAATGTAATAATTATTAGACTCTTGTTATGTATTTTCTCGTGTTACAGTATCTCGATTTTCTTGTTGTCTACTGTTTGTCTTTATTCAGTGTTTATTTTTCTCTCAAACTTGTCTATGTCACAAATATGCTACTACTTTTCGTATGATACAACTTTAAATATCTACATTTTAA